GGGGGTAACTGGGGGGGTGGGGGCAGGTCTGTTGGGGGGCTGTGGGGGGAGGGGGAGGGATAACTGGGGGAGGCAGTGAGGGGGTGGGGTAACTGGGAGGCTGGGGGGGATCTGTGGGGGGAGGGTGGTTGGGGGGCTGGGGGGAGAGGGGTGGGGTAACCGGAGGGAGGCAGTGAGTGGGTGGGGGTAACTGGGGGGTCATGGGGGGAAGGGTGGGGTAACTGGGGGAGGGTGGTTGGCAGAGCTGTGGGGGGAGAGGTCACTTGTGTCCCTGGACCCCCCTGTGCTGTTGGGTGCTCCCCACCAAACCCCGGTGCGTGGGGGATGTTCCTGAATGGGGCGTTGCGGTTTGATGCGAGTGAGGGGGTGAAGTCCCAGCCTAGCTCCCCCCAGGGCGCCGCTGGCCCGAGTGCTGCTCTGTCTCCTTCTCACGGGGCCCGGCACTTCCCCTGGCACCCGATTTTAGCCCCCCGGACTCCCTCGGCACCAAGCTCTGGGGCTTCCCACCCTTCTCCTGGGAGCTGGTTTCCTGGGTCTCCCTTCCCACCCCGCAAACACCAGCGCTGTGGTTCCTGCTTTGGCGTGTCAGAGCGTCCTTTGTACGAGGTAAATGGACCCTGAGCACCTGCAGCGGGTTCCACGTCTCATCAGGGAGGCAGTGTGGCCATGCGGCTAGAGCACCAGACTGGGACCCAGGAGACTTGGGCTCTGTTCCTGGCTCTGCCACTGGCCTCCTGAGTGTCCTTGGGCAAATCGCTTTCCCCTCTGTGCCTCAGTTTCCCATCTGTACAATGGGGATAGCAACCCTGCCCTCCTTTGCAAAGTGCTTTGAGGTTTCTGGATGAAAAGTGCTGGATAACCGCTAGGGACTGCTGTCTGCAGAGACACGTTCAGAACTGCTGGCGTTGCTTAGTCTAGCTCTGGGGTGATGTTGTCATGGGTGGGAACAATAGGATGCTGTTGCTAAGATGTGTTTGTCATGCAAATCTGTATGTCCTCGTTATAGGGTTACATGTGTCTGTCATTTGGGTTAGCCCAAACTTCAGAACGTGCACAGATTAATGATTGGCAGTGCCAGGCACCAGCTGGCACAGTTGAGGCCTTCCCCCCCAAATGTTAGGAACTGCATCCCTTTATGAAGGAAGCAACGTACTTCCTGGTTGTTCGGTATCCCAACAACCCACCTTTTAAGATCCTTGGGTCCTACACGTACCCATCACAACGTGTGGTGTCCTCGCCTAGTGCACCAAATGCCCCAGTAGCATCTATGTGGGTGAAACGACACAATCGCTACGCTCTGGAATGAACTGGCCCAGAAAAATGATAAAAGACCCACCATCTCACCCGTGGGTGAACACTTCTTCCCAAAGCGATCCCTCCAGATCTGGTCTTGTCCTTGAAGGAAACCTGCACAACATCTACAAATGAGGAGCCTGGGAGCTTAAATTCATAACTTTGCTAGACGCTAAAAATCACAAACTTAATAGAGACGCTGGCCACTTCACCTTGAACGGTCCCTTGAAATAAGTGCTAACTACTCATGCTAAACAATCTGCTCCATCTTGTATTTAGCTGTGACGCTCTGAGTACATTTCCCACACCTGAAGAAGAGCTCTGTGGAAGCTCGAAAGCTTGTCTCTCCCACCAACAGAAGTTGGTCCAATAAAAGAGATTACCTCACCCACCTTGTCTCTCTAATATACTTCCTGGAAGCAGACATGTTCTCTGTGTACCTGGCGGTGTGAGGCGGGCACTCACTTTGGGTGCTATTCTTTGCAATAAGAGCTGCGTCTGTCCAGAACTGCCAGCTATCCTGACTAAAACGCATTTGTGCTTCTAGGCCAGGAACGAGCCAGATGTTTACGAGACTAGCGATCTCCCAGAAGACGACCAGGCGGAGTTCGATGCGGTAAGGTTGTGTGGAACGCAACAGCTCTCTGACTAGCATTGTGGTTGGAGGGCAGTGATAAGTGGGTGTGCCAATCCCAAATCATTTCCAAGGCTGCTTTTGCCCAAATGACTCCCGTAACTGTGCCGTATTGGGTGTATACTCCAGCAGATCTGGGTAGCAGAAAGCTCATCAAATGGTACTGTTTTCAGAATAGTTCCTAGCAAGGAAGGTGCGACAGTCCTCTTCTAGAAATGCTGCCCCCATAAACATCTGTTAAATCCTTTTCTTGGCCTTTTCATCATCCCAAAGGAGAACGTGCGTAAGGCTTTGGGGAAGGAAATCTCTGAAGAGGCCCTTTGCTTTTCTTCATCACTTTCTTCCAAACTGGAATTGGGTCTAGTGGCAACTGGAGAGATTATCTGCTTTAAATACAGTTGAGCTTGGTAGTCAGAAAGGGACTGTTCTCCCTTTGACGTGAGGTGCTCACCACGTTTGTTTGGTTAAATGCAAGATAGTGGGGTGGGAGTGGGTTAAAAATCAGATGACATCTTGGCATTTTATTTTCAAACTACAAATATATATTTGGGGCATCCTGGAACTCTGGTCTATGAAATATGCCTTTGGGCTTTCCTTGCCAGGCATAACACCAAAGAGAGATGGCTGTTCTTGTAGCTAGTGAAGCAAATCGGGCTGCTGTACATTCCCCCCTATGCCGTAGGGGTTTGGGCAAAAAAACAGAACAAATCCCACTGTTGCTAACACTGGGGAAATCTCGGTGTAGGCCAGGCTTCTGTGGGTGCTGACGCTTTAAACGCCTTATTGTCTAGCTGCGCGGCGCCAGGGCTAAGCAATGCAGTGTTAAACATGGAGGCAGGCTCTGTCAGCGCTCCCGGCAAATGGAAAATGTTTGCCAGAAGCCCTGGTGTAGATGACTAGAAATGACAGCTGGCCAAACCCGGTCCTGAATCGAATGCGTTCGCTTTCTGATACGAGAGCAGCTCTGACGCTGCCGACCGTTCTTCAGTGATGCCTAATGCACTCCCGCGCCCCAGGAAATCCACACCGGGGATTTGTAGCCTGCATGAGGCTGCCCAGGGGAAAACGCCGTCTGAAAGCGTCCATTAAACTCTCAGCATTTGGGTCTTGGGCCTAGTTTGGCCTGAGCCCATTGTAAAAGCAAACTGTCTAACATCTCATCGCTGTGGGGAGCGCAGGGTCTGTTGAACCTTCTGCGGGAGCTGTGCTCAGCAGGGGAATTGCGGAAGGTATATTGGCCTCATGGCGTCTTGCTTTAGAAAAGGGAGTTTTCAGGGGTGGGAAGGAGCTGACTCAAACGCCCGGGAAATGCAGGCTGCAGGCACTGAGGGAACACTAGAGGCTCAGGGTTGAAAGCATCTCAAAATAGCAGCAGGAATGGACGTGCCCTGGAGACAGTCTCATTAACTGGACCTGGTCGGTGAAAGCCAGGGCTGAATGATGGCTTTGCCTTTGTCATCCCTGCCCTCAGATCAATGCTTACGTACCCAGGGGTGGGGCGGATCCACCCTGATGGGAATGAGAGGCCGGGGGCAGGTCGCTGGCCCTTTCTGGGCCTCGGTTTTCCCAGCTGTAAAATGGAAAGGATCCTTTCCCACCGCCTGGGGTAATGTTTACAAAATGCGTTGCAATCCTCTGGCGATCGGTGCCCTCCAAAGCACACTTGGTAGCTTGAGAGAGAACGGGTGAATTTCCCTTGCTGAGCAAAGACCAATGTCATACAGGTGATTTATCATGACCTATCGCCAGCTGGGAGTTCAGGGTTCTTTTTAGTGCTCTGCCCTGCTTTCGAAGTCCTTTTCCTCCCACATCTCAGGCCTCTGAGTCGGAAGCCTTTAGCAGGGCACAGTTTAGTCAAGGAGTAGCTGCCATGGCATGGCCTAGGGTTGTGGCATCTTGTTGCAGCCCGGAGCTGCGCCCGGCTCGGGCGCGAGAAGATTGCTGTCTGTAGCGTTTGGAATCTTGCTGGCGTTTCCGGTGCAAGTGACTAGACCAGGAGCTGGGAGAAACATCGCCCGGTTTTGATTGAAAATGAGCTTAAAAGCAGCAACCCAAGTTGGAGACACTTCTGCAACAAACCTGGAAAGTAGGTCAGCACTTGGGGGAGACGTGGGTCTTTCTGCTCGAATCAGCGTCAAGGGTTTGGCTGATTAACAGGAGCAGACAGAAGGGGCGTTAAAAGAATGTTCTCCAAGGTGGGGGCGGTAACGCGAACACCCTGAGTGGCCATGTTGTGTAGCACCCACAAGGAAGCGAGGGGGTTCCCTTCTCTGCAGCTCTCGCGGCCTACCTGAGGGTTTAATGTAAGCAGGAAAGTGGAGCCGTGAGGACTAGGCTGGCTTACAGATACGGGGTGCCGGTGGGAAACGAAGGCGTGTGCGCATCCTCCACCAGCCTCCGATGTAACGAACCGCTTCCCTCATTAGTCAGAGGTTTATCTTTCGCAGTGCAGCGTGTTCCCCCCGGTGTCCTTCCCACTTCCTCCAGCTCGGGCTTGGATCTCTGCAACGAAGGGACCTCACTTAGGGGTCTGGTCAATTGCCTCTTTGCTCCGACTTTGCACTAAGGCTTCCCCCTTCCTTAGCTTCCTGGCTGTCCTGCCATCTTCTCAGGCTGCGACTCCTTTCCCTCCATCATGTTGTCACGGACTCACAGATCGTGCCCACTCTTGGCCCATGCGGTCCGTGGGGGGTGCCCCTTTCAGTGCAACAGCCCTTCTTGGGGGTCCACTCTCTCTCGGGGTCAGGCCCCTCCACCTCCTGGAGCCGCACCTCTCTGAGCCTTAGTATGTCTGTATCTGCCGTGGGCCTCCTCAGGGAGTCCCCTCCCTCTGGACCCCCGGGGCCTCCACCCCCGAAGGGGTTGATGCAACCCTGTTCTCTAGCCCAGAGCGACTCTCAGCCAGTGTAAAACAGGAGGGATTATTGAGCGTTGAAAACAGCACAGGAAACTCTCAGGGCCTCAGGCCTGGCCTCCTTCAGCCCAGCACATCCCAGTCTCTCTGCATCCAGGTGGTCTCTGCCTGCTCCCCCTCTCCAGCCCCGAGCCCCCCTGCTCCCAGCTGGGCCTCTGAGATCACCGGCCCCAAGCCCCGCCTCTGTCCATTGTCTTCTCTCCAGGTAAACAGGGTCACCGTGGCCTCCTCTCCCCTCTTCTGTTCTCTGGCCCCCTCTGGCTGGAACCGGCTGGTCAGATCTTGGGGTCCTCTCGTCACAGCCCATTGTCCTCCCACTGGCCAGAACCGGCTGCGACTCCTGAGCTGGGCCTCCAGGTCGCCAAGTCACCAGTCACTGGGGTCTCCATTCTCCAGGCCATTGGCCGGGGTCCCAAGTTCCCTCTCCGGTCCTCTACAACAACAAACTCCCTCTCACCTCGTTAAACCAGGAACACCCAGGGAAACTGAGTCCCACCCCCTCTGCATGCAAACCATTGAAAAACCAGGAAAAAACAAGAAACCCCCCCACTTCGTCACACATGCACACTGAACGCAAGCGCTGTCGGATGCCACAGCTCAGCCTTTAGACTCTCAATCAGATGCCCCTCTTGCTTAGCCCGACTCTTTGCTACTCCGTTGTGCTGGAATTTCCCTGAGCCCTGGGGTCCGCGTGGCGTACAGGGGCAGCACTGAAGAAGCCCTGTCCCCGTGCGTGCCAGGTTACATGGCAGTCAGATAGGTGAATGGGAGCTGTGGGTGCCCAGCAAGGTGCCCCCACGTTGATTTTGTCGCTTGCCTTTGGCGAGAGGGTTTGAGTCACTCAGGCTTTCTCTGGGCAACGTGCTCTGCAGTGAGGCTCCAGATGGAAACGCCTTTGCAGGGTGGCTGGGAGCTGGCTTGGCTTGGCACACTCAGTTATCATCGGCCTACCTGCGTGGTGCTGTGTCCGGCAGTGTGGTCAGTGTCTGTGTTTGTGTGGCGCTCGCGATTGCTGCTGGCATGTTAGCCGTTTGAGTTGGCGCAGTCAGGAGACCAGGGTAAATGAAGGTGTAAACTCACCACGCTTCTGGAGGCTGGTCAGAAACCAGGCGAGTGAAATACGGAGCAGGCCCCGACACTGCTCCATACCCGATGTGCAGGGCAGGCAATTCCTCTGCAACCCATGGCTGTGTAGCCACCCCGGCCCTGGCACACGATCCTACTCGAGAGCAGGATTTCACCCAAAGAAACGGCCCGCTTCTCCCAGGTTCCCTCTGCCGTGCTGTGTGAGAAACGGGCGCCGAAGGGCACGGGGTGGATGCTGGCCCATGTGGGACGGCTGTTTCCCCAGGCCTGCTGCTTCGCCCCTGGGCGCATCCCCGTTGTAGAGAACTCCACAGAGCTCGGCCGTTGACTCTGAAGTGGGAACTTCCCACGTGGAAGCAAAGCGGTTTTGTGGTTGCTCTCGCCCCGCCTGTGTCGAGGCCTTCAGAAGCTGGGATGGAGACCATGCCCCATTGGGTGGCCCTGTCTCTCTTGAATGGCCTCCTGCCTGTAGCCAATTTGCCTCCATACTCCTGAGGTCTCCCCCAGCCTGCCCTAAGGGGGCTAAACTGAGCCTGTGTCCAGCCCCACGTCCCTCTCCAGGTGAGCAGCGGGAGATGCCGCTCTACCCTGGGAGCTGACTCATTGTCCTGCTGAGCCTCACTGGCCTAGAGGGAGCTACGCCCAGGGGCCGGTTGTGCCAATAATCTGACTATGAACCCAGCCCCGGCATTGTAGAATAGAGACCTGACTTGTAAATTACACACCCGTATTAAAACAACACAAGCTCAGACGTTTCTGCCCAAACCCAGGGCTAGCGGCTCGTTTTTCCCCTGAAGAGGGCACCTGCACTCCTAATACGGCCATTTCTATATTTGTTTCTATGTAGCTTTTAATTGGCTTATGAAATTCATTTTCCTGGCCGCATAATCTGATCCAGCCTCCACGTGTTACCCCTGCTGCAGTGGGGATAATTCGGTTTTGAATGGCTAAGTCTAATGTCCTTTTCTCCAAGATGATCCTTCCCAGAACAAGCTACGGGCCCTTTGCTGGCTTCGCCGCTGGCAAGGTTTGGTGGTTTGCAGTGGGAATCGAACAATCTCGCGACGCTTGGCCATGGTGCTGCTTTTGGAACCAAATCTGTCCTTGCACCTGTGCTGAGAGGTTGCTTGAAGCGTGGGGCTACTTTCACTGGTGCTCTGTGCTCCAGGCTATTCCTGGCTGCAGGAGTTAAGTCCCCAGTCCCCATAGGCAAGACATGCTTGACTCTGAAGCCTTCAGGCTGCTTTTATCCTTGGGAGCAGGTGCATGTTCTTCTGAGCTCCAGATTTAGCGATTAAAGCCCAGAGGTTTTCGAGCACCGCTGCCTTGTTCACGTTCTTCCGTTTCCCCTTGCCCATTTTGAGCCCCGCATGCGTGTTACCCAGAGTGCTGCAGAGCTGGTCTCTTGGTAAATAGATCTCCCCAGGACGGTTCTCGCTACCTCTGGACCTGAAAGCTGCAACGTGATCGCTGAGACTAGATCTTGGTTCAGTGGAATTCTATTTCTGCCGTCCCTTTAAACCAATTTCAGCCCGATGTACTAAATGAGATTCCAAACCCGGGAGCCTGAGCCGCGTGTGCAGACGCGAGACGCCCCTTTCACCGTATGAATCCAGGGCCACTGACCGGATGAACGTTAACTCTAATGCAGTAACGCCCTGCTGGCGTGCTCTACGGTGTTTTTATTATTGTCTGCTCCAAGGGCTTAAAAGAGAGACTAGATTTAAAAAATAAACAGATCAGCCTTGAACTCAATTGAAAATGAATTGCCCCAGGTGAAAAGGCCACAAACGGTGTCTGAATTGGGGACTTTCAGCTAGCTTAAGTTTTTCTCCCTCCTCTGCCAGCAACAAATGAATGCAAACAGCAGCCTCGGCCCGAGTCAGTTGGTAGCAGCTGCTGTGAGCTCTATGCCCGGAATGGCACCTTGGCCTGCTTCGGAGAAGCCTGGCTTCTCTGGGCGTCTGCGACTGGCGTCTTCTATTGGCAACAGGAATTAATGATGCTGGAGAATTTCCAGTTGCCTCCCTAGCTAGTGCACTTCGGGCATTGCAGTGAGTGCTTTCGAGCGCAGCCCATGGGGCGGGGCCGTCCCTGCAGCTCCTCAGACAACCCCTCTCGTTTTGGGGTACCAGCTCAGACTGCTTTATTGTGTTGATTGACTGTTGCGCAGTTGAACTTACCTGAGTTTTCCTAATGCTCTTCCCCCCCCTGCCTTTTCACTACCTTGCCTGGATTCTAGTTTGCACAAGTAAGACCATTACAACGCTTCTCTTTTGCATGCTTTGGAATTTGATTTTTGCATGCGGGTAAATCTGCACCGCGCTTGGTTGTGAATGTAGCGAAGAGTTTTAAATCCCAGTCGTTAACCGCCCCCCTCCCCAGGGGGGTCTGATTTCAAGATGATTGTTGGGTTAATCGAGGTACGGGTGTGAAATTGGCGGGTGGCCCGGGGCAGTGTTCTCTCTCCCCGCACTAAGGCATGTAGCCGGAGCAGAGGAAAACGAGGAATTGGACGTTGGTTTTAGCAGGAGGAAGGTTTGGTTAACGGGGATTTCTCGCCCAGAGTGGGAAGAACAAAAGAGGAGCCTAAATCCAGGCTAGTGCACCCGCACGGTGCCCTGCCGGGGGCTCTGCCGGCTGTGTGGCAGGCGCCCCGGGGTAACTGGCATGAAACGGAGCAGACTCGCTGTCCTGCTCTAATACAAAGGGGTGTGCCGGTCCCAGAATGCAATGCAGCCTTTCAAAGATGGCACCCAGCCCAGGTCCCCCTCCACCTCCTGCCATGGTTACTGCAGCCTCCTCTTCTCTGACACCTGCACCCTCCCGGGACGCTTCTCCTCCCGACCATGCAAACTAACCATCTTCCTCGCCTGGGGATCGGGCCACGTGCCCCCCTCCCCTGAGATTTCCCACTGCCCCCCCACTTCGAGTTCAAGCTCAGTCGGCTGCTGCCCCTGGCCAGGCACTAGCCCTTGCTGTGTAGTCCCGTCGGCTGCTGTCCCTGGCCGGGTGCTAGCCCTCACCTGGTCAGCTGACGGCTGCTGTCCCTGGCCGGGTGCTAGCCCTCGCCCGGTCAGCCGAC